GATCCACATATGAAATTCTTGAGTGAGGAGTGTTCGGGTATCAAATTGAAGTATGGAGAATCGGTCAGAGCAGAAATGGACTTCAATTCCACGACAGGTAGGGATCCGGGGGGTATCCGCTAAAATGATGAAAATCTAGCTTCGTAGACCCTTTACGTGGTTGGATCTGGAATGAAATGAAGAAACTGACTCATCCTCATGGAGAACCGGGCAAACAAAAGAATCTATGCTCGGAAAACAAACCTGCGCTTTAGCGAATGAATGGTAGGGGTATGATTTCTGAGAAAACCTCGTTTTGGCAAACCCAAACTCCTGTGGTAGAAAGCAAGGTGCATCCTATAAAAGAAAGAGTTTTTGAGAGGTAAGGGCAACCCGAGCATCTGCATTTACTCACTTTAGGATGACAAAAGAGATCGGTCAGAGCAGGCAAGAAGAACGGAAAAGGTTCAGAAAAAAGAGCATCTGTTGATATGTACTAGAACTAGATGCGTCACACATGCAAGTTCAATAAATTCTCTCGCGATCCGTCCTAAAAGCATCTCTCCCTTTCGACGAATAGCTAAGCTTTCTTGATATTGATACACACGATTCCTTAAACGAATAAAGGGCATTAAGCCTAGGCTTGGCAAAGAACAAACATCCTTCCCTAGAATCTACATTTAGCTGAGCTAATTAGCTTTCTTCTGCCAAAGAATGATCAATTTCAATGAGATCTTCACCCGTCTCGCCTCTTGTTCCGCTAAGTGGTAGCGAATGGACATCTATATAATGATAATGCAATTTCGCGCTATGCTCCTTCCTCGGTCAAGTCAAAATACCATTCATAGAGGGGGTAGCTTTATGTAAATGTAAATAAAACAATAGTGAAAAGTCTTGCTCGATGACTTACAACATAATTCCTCAATCCTCCGTTTCACAAGCCAACTAACAACCTATCCTTCAATTCACATTCTTGAGATGTTTACTATCCACCACCCACACGTTCCGATATCGCCATGTGATCGATGCTGGCACGAGGTTCTCTTTCAGGAAAGTCAGTCGTCCCCAGTGGCGAAAGCTCTTACCGCGCCAGATAAGGAAGGCTAGCTCGTGACTCGATTCCCTTCGACAAATTCTTTAGAGAAAGATTGAGCTTTAGGGAAAGGTAAATTCTCTCTAAGCAAGGCATACACTATTGAATTAAGACCCACCAACAACGATGGTTTTTGCAAAGTAGAAAAAAAAGAAGTCTGAACATGCTGGCTATGTAGATTGACTTTTTTCTGTTTATATCGGCCGCAGACGTGTCAAAATCAGGTGCGATCTCGCTCAGAAATGGTCAGGACCTGCTGTGTGTCATGCTTGAGAAGCTGTTCGCCTAGCTACCTAGCTACTAGTAGGAAGTCGCCCATGTATGCCCAAAAGAAGGTGAAAGTGCGGAAATGGAACAACATGGTGAAAGTCAACCCTGTATTGCTTTATATAGTGGTCAAGTCATCAGTTCATTCGCGAGCAGAAGCCAGTCTCACAGCCGAGACAGAGTACTTGTATACGTACGCTATTGTTTGATCGTTTTTGTGAAATAAGAATTCATTCAAGGGAAGGTTGTAGTTGGGTAACATAAGGGTAGGCAAAAGCCTGAAACTCGTCTCATGACATCACATCTTTGAGGCTCGGGAAAATGAACGGATTGGTTGCTCGAAACAAAGAAAGAGATTGAAAGCAAATAGCGCAACATCTGATCGAAGTTTCAAGAAAAGCCAGCTCCTTTGCTTCTCATCGGTTGTCAGAGGAGGTGCACGATGTGCTTTAAGGTCAGCTCTGATAAGGCTAAGTACAGCTACGGCAAGGAAAGCTCCGCATCTACCTTAGTCTTCGCTTCATAATGCCTCAAGGAGTCTTCGATGGGGCCAGTTTCCAAGAGTTCCGTTCCATCCATAACCACCTCTATTCATTCATCAGAGGCTTCCAGCCTTACTCTTTGGGGCGACCAACCACAGTCTAACAAGCAATCTAGGTACAGTCATTCCTGCTATTGTACTTCCAGTTGAGGAATTTCATTCTTGCTTCTCTCCTAACTCATTCATGCAATAGCACACGTAAAGTCAGTCAAATAGGTTCGGAAGGAAATCAAAGAAAACATCTGATGAACAACGGAAAACTTGCTCGAGGGAAGAAGCTTTATAGTAGATACACGTCCCTGCTCTCGTTCAAGGTCACAACCATCAAAAGCGATTCAATGCCCCTTGGCGTGCCCCTTAAGGGCTGCCCTAGATCACCTGGGACATATAGCACCCGTGTTGAAATTTACAGAGAAATCACGGTAACGATACCTCACTTCACACGTTATATATAGCTGTCTCCTTTATCGGCTGCATCCTCTTCCCCGGACCTTGACCCCCAAGCTGAGGAGTTGTTAAACTCTCTATTCGTCAGTCTGTACAAATACGAGTGGAACAAGTATGCGGCCGTCCCCATTGGCTTTTTCTATGCTTTCTATGGTTGGAGTTTTGAGTGAGACCAACGCCGCCCGTTGGAAAGCGGACTTTCAAGGTCTTCGTTTTAGCCTGAAATTGGACCTGGCCGAAGGTTGTTGGACTCCTCAAGACAAGAAAGTCAACCACTGGTTGATTCTAAGGTGGGATCATTAGTTTTAAACAAATCTTCCTCAACAACCAATTGAACTAGAGTAGAGGAGAGAGAAGGGGACAAAGAGTCCCTAGTACGTAAGTCCTAACTAGCCCCGATAAAATAAGAAGTCATGGCGAATACAGAGGAAGAAAGTCAGTTGTTAATGGTCAATCGCTTCTAAGAATGCTTTTTCTTCTATCACTAATGCCATTAAAGGCGACTTCCTCTGCAGACACCACATGCTCGAACTTTGCAGGCAATTCGTTACCAATACACAAACTAAAGCATCATTTCGTTTTGTAAGTCTCTCTTATTATTTCATCTTCTTGCCAAGGTTCTATGTATCCTCGTTTTCTTTGTCTGCGCTCTTCTGAAGTGATTCCAGCCATGTCAGTCATCTTTCAAGTCCTTAGCCAACTGGGTTGTGGTTATCGCGAATAAAGAAAGGGCATTTACTACTATGTATGCATTCCATTTTCATGATGCTTTGAAGAAAGATACTTTTATGGTGCAACATTGAATAGCTGGATTTCTATCATCCCAAAAGCAAGGGGGCCGGCTCCCATTAATCATAGGAGTATAAAGAAAAGCACTTTCCAACTCACGTGTGAGCAGAATCTTCCTATACTATAAGTGCATCGGTTGATGGCGACTCTTCTCCTACTAAGGATAGTTCTTCACTTGCTTTTGTAAGAAGTTAAGCTTTACCGCACTTGAATAGGATATTGACCACTTAGAAGGGGCAGGAGAAGACAAGCAGTCAGTCGACCCTTGAGCACCATTATCTGTCTCGACCGGGAGCGAGTGCAATAAATGACTGAGTTTCGTCAATAAGAATATCATATTACAACCAATTTATTTGGTAGGCGCTTGTTTGCTGTGGTAAGACAGAAAGGCGGATCTCAATTGGATGGAACAGCCGAAAGAACAGCATCGGCAAGTATAGCGTGAGAAGGCAGCTCGTGAAGAGAAGAAGAAGCAGAATCAGTCTTCCTCATCCCAAACCCTCATGTGGGGGACTCGGTCTCATGCTGAGAACATTAGAGAGATTGGTAACCTTGCATAGCCCATTAGGCTCGTTGAGACCTTCCGGTATCGATGGGATCTCTACCTATCAAAAAAAGAAGATAGAGCCTTGCCCGATCGATCGTAGCTAGCACGAACAGAATAGGCGAGACTCCTACTCTCATGCCACCTCAGTGCGAACTGCAACAGGGGCGACCCCATATACCCACTCGTATATGGAATTACAGCATTCTCCTGGCACGTCGGCTTTAGTGTCCTAACGTTGGCATGTGAGAAATAGGCTGCCCCTTGGTTTGCTATTTCAGTATTGATGGAATTAACATAAGGGTTAGCGGGTGAGTCTTCTGGAGAGTCTTGTCTTCCACAGGGGCGGGACCTTCAAGCAGGAACTGTTGGCTTTCCTGCGGCTTCTGCCTCG